ATTTTGCTGAGTTTTCTTCCCTCACAGGAAGGATCCATTTGGGATGGGTCAGATGCAGGTGGATGGTCCTAATGACCTCTTAACATTGCCAGTGACAGTTTTAGAATGCTAAATGGTGGTTAATTTACTTACATGTGTTTATGTAATAGGTTTTCTTAAATGGAAAATCATCATTCAAAATCAAACGAAGGCCTTCGTCGCCGAGGTACTTAGAGTCTAGTAGGGTGGAAAAGAGCAAAATCATAGTGTAGTAATTATAAAAACCTTCACATAAAGTTATATGAAAATGTGCAAAAGAACAGGTGAAAAGTGAAGTGGTTAGAAAAACTAGGAAACCATTCCCAAAAGCCAAGGCAGAATGTTGGAGTTGATATTAAGACCAAAGCAAGAGCTACTGTAATAGTCCCACCCCCCAACACCTTCTGGAGCAGCTGGCAGTCAAGAATGGGAAGGAAAGGCATTGAGCTGCTAGCCTGGGGAAGGAAAGTACTTTCTCCCAAACTTCTTTCTCCTCCAGGGAGCTCCTCTACACACTTGTGTTCAAGTATCTTCCCGCACCAGCTCTGCCATTTATTGTTCTCCTCATCTGATACACGAGGGTAACACTTGTCTCTCCTAACTGTTAGGATTAAATGTGACATCTCATGTGATATGCCTCGCACAGCAGCTTGCCCTTTTTATGAGGCCTCAGTTAGCCCACAGCCCTAGAAAAAAAGACGCTCTATACGCAGCGTCTCTCCACATCCACTGCTTCCCAAGTACCCATCCCACAACAGCAACTCTGGATGTCATGGTAACACAGGTGCTCAGTAATGGTTTAAATGAAAGTAGTACAGGCTACACGACTTCTGAGCTCTCAAAATTCCCCATCTTAATTCTTGCCCAAAGGGTTAACAGTGGGCTTTGAGCAGAGAATCTAGAGACCTGGGTGCTAGAACCAGTTCTACCATCTAAATGTGTAAGTTTGGGCAAGTCTGTTTCTCTTATTCCACTCTTTTCACCTGATTCTTGCAGTTATGATCAATTCCCTTCACTATGCACTGGTGTTACCTACCACGTGCCAGGTACTATGCCTTCTAGGTCCACACAGTCCAGTAGAAAAAAATGGAAAGACACAGACCTAAATAACTTTGACACAGGCAGAGAAAGATGAGTGATATGATGGAAGCACGAAGTGCTGTGGGAGTATAGAGAAAGGAGTAATCAAATATGAAAAAGAATCTGAGAACATGTGAAAAACCTTTGTGGAGCAAAAAGGCTTATTTTGGACTTTATGTAAGATTTTGATGCATCAGCAAAACATTCTAGAGAGAACTGAATAATGCAACCAAAGACTGGGTCCTAGACTATATGGGACATGTTTAGGGATGAGAGAGTAATTCTGTGAGCTAGCGTGGAGGATGCCGGGACAGAGGGAGGTTGGAACTAAGCAACAAGGGAAGGGTTTCAGTCTGCTGATTCAAGAGTTTAGAGCCTGAGCACTGGCCCAAACTCAAGAAAGGGAATGGCAGCACCAACACTTTTCTTTATTCTTTTATTTTTTCATTCATTAGTTCTTTCAACAGATTTGATATTCTTTATTTACTGTGTGACAAGCACCGATGTTGGTGCTGAGGAAAGAAAAATGAATAACACAGTTTCTTGCCTCAAGGAAATCACAGTCTGGTGGAGGAGACATGTAACAAGGGTATATAATATAGATAATAATTGCTACCTGCTTCAAGAACAGAGTTGAGCAAGTGATTGATTATGCTTGGAGGTAGAGCATATATGAAGTAGCTTAAAAAGATGTGTCATTTAAGCCGAATTGGAAGAATAAATAGAAGTAGGAACTTACTAGATTAAAGGAAGAAGTCTTCCAGACAGAGCAAACAACGCAAAAAAGATCCAGAGGCTTGACTAGCCAGGCATATTGGGAACACTGGAAAATTTGGTCTGAGTGGCTCCTAGCATGGAAAGGGGAACAAGGCAGAAGATAGCAGCAAGATCAATTAAAGTTGGAATAAACCTAGGAGTTGGGTTTAGTCCCAAAGGCAGTGAGGCAGTGTTGAAAATGTTCAATCCAGAAGAAAAACCAAGGGGATCTGAACTGAGGTGAATTTAATAGCACCTGATAGGGATAGTGACCAAAAAATCATAATGTGGGTAACTCCCAGGTTTTGGGCTTGAGTGACTGGTACCATCCCCAAGACAGGAGCATCTGAAGTAGATTTCAGGAGTAAATGATGAGTTCATTCTTGAATATATTTAAGGTTATCGTAGGATACCTGTAATCCTGTCCTCAACCCAACCCCCAACTTAAAACCCTTCAGGGGCTCTCCTTTCCCTCAGCTCTGGCCAGGCCCCTACACCTTCCCACTCTCATCTCTCACTTCTACCTTCTGACACACTTGCTTCAGCCTGAACAGCTTGCATTTCCTTGAACTTGCCAGGTTGTGTTCTACTTCTTTGTGCGTCTGACTGGAACACCTTTTCCCTTCCTTTGCCTGGCCAATTGCTGCTCATTCTTTCAGACTCACTCACATGTAACATCTTTAAAGAAGACTTCCCTGACATTGTTCACTGCTACCAGGGAGGGTTAGTATTTTGTTATTGCTATCAGATGCTATCCAATGTACTTCAATTCATGGAAACCCCATGTACAACAGAATGAAACATTGACGGGTCCTGCGCCATCTTCAGGATCTTTGGTATGATAGTGTCCATTGTTGCAGCCACTGTGTATTTTGAGTGCCTTCCAACCTAGGGGCTCAGTGGTTAAAAGCTTGGCTGCTAACCAAAAGGTCAGCAGTGGGGGTCATAGATGACCCTACTGGTATTTGAAATACCAGTGACATAGTTTCCAACATCACAGCAACACACAGGCCAGCCACCACAGTACAGCAAACTGACAGATGGGTGGTAGAGGGTTAGTACACTTGTGTATAAATCTGTCAACAGACACCTGCTCACCCCATTTGACTATAATGATTTGCAGTCATGTCACCTCTTCCACCACTGTGACCTCCCCTCCTACCTAAGGCAGGAAGCATCTCTGTATCCACTGTGCCTGGCCCAGATGGAAAGTAGGATGTCAGTAAAAGTTTCTTAAATGAACAAATCCAGATGGGCACATCCAGCAGAGAGCTAGAAATGCCAAAAGACAAATGTGAACAACATGAACACCTGTGTCTCTGGGAGCATTACTACTGGCTCCCCCTACCGACTGCCCCAAATACTACATTGTCTACAGCTAAATGTTCAATTATCTAGGCCCATGGCTGTTGGCTTGGTTATGTGTATGGAGTAGAATGGAAAGGGAGAGGAAGGACGCCTAAGGAGGAGGATGGGTGAAGGTTTGGGAACTGAAATAGAACTCCTAGCCATCAAGAATGCAAGTTTACATAAGAGGGAACCTGGCCTGGACACCTGTTTTCTCGTCCTGTTTTTGAGGCCCTATTTTCTACCACCCTCTGGTGGCCGCATCTTTGAATAACAACCTCCCTATGAACTGAGAGAGCTTTCATAAGGTAGAAGTTCATAGATTGGCCTCAAAGAATTATGACCTCCCAAAAATAGCATGCAAATTTGTATGTGTACGAGATTTGCCTTATTCTGGCAAGAAGCTCCAGGAGCTTTTCTCAAATCCTTAAAGAGGTCTGTGGCCTCCAAAATACTGAGTCACTGCTGTAAAGGCTGGTTTTAGAACAGTGATTCCTAATTTTTTTTTTTCCAAATGAAATCTTATGATGAATCATTAAAGATGCAAAAGCAGACTTTGATCCCTACCTGCTCAGAACCTCACCCTCCAATTCCCCAAGGTACCTACACAGAACACAGAATCCAGTTTGAAAACCACTCTTGTAAAGGCAAAGGCATGTCGAGCTTCAGAGACAGGTACCAAAACCAGTTGCCAAAGTCATTTCCAACTCATGCAGACTCCATGTGTGTCAGAGTAGAATTGTGCTTCATAGGGTTTTCAGTGGCTGATTTTTTGGAAGTAGATTGCCAGGCCTTTCTTCTGAGGCTCCTTTTTGTAGACTCAAACCTCTGACCTTTCAGTTAGCAGCTGAGCACATTAACCATTTGCAGAAGGACCTTTAGAAATCATTGAGACCCACTAGATCACACTCAGAAAAGGGGGGCTTGGTGAGGCTCACAGAGCCTATCAGTAGCAGTACTGCAACCTGAACACAAATCTCCCTGCTCCCCTCTCTTTTTACTGCTCAATCTTGCCTTATTTCCCAAAAACTTAAATTTAAAAAAAAAATAACAACTTTTTCTATCCTAAATATAGTTCCCAAACAGGAAAACATTTTTCCTATAGATTTCTAGTCTTCTAGAAAGAGATGTTTTTGCCTCTAAATGCCTCTCAACAAACCATAATACTGGTAGAAGATAAATCTCTGGCTTACATTTGAAACTATATAATAGGAAACATCAACACCCATGAGCTGGTATATTTTACAGTGGGAAAACTGAGACCCAGAGAGACAAAATGACTTGCTGTTTCTGATACCAACTCAAGTGTTCTTTCCAGTCTCATAGCCTTTGTATTTAAATGTATCTATCCTGTAGTGTTTAAAGCAAATGGGGATTTTTATTTGAATACATGTTTACTAAATGAGTGAACAAGTAGGCAGTATAACTGCCTTGTTTATATATGTTTGGGAGGTAAGACCAACCCCTGCTAATCACAACCATTTGGGAGTTGGGAGGAGAGATAAATGCTAACATTGACTGAACATCTGTATACTAGATACACTAGATTCTAATTGCTAAACAACCTTCCAAGTATGTTTCTAATCACCATTTTGCAGATGTATAAACTGAAGCTCAGAAAGAGAAAGTGCCTTGCCTAACGTCACGCAGCCAGTAAATGGCAAATCCGAGATAAACCTCAGGTCTGCCTGACTCTTCAGCCTGTGCTTTTCCCACACCAGCTAGCTGCATGGGAATTTGAACATGCCAGTCCTGGCCTCCTCTGACCACCTGCCCTTTCCCTTCTTTCTTTCTCTTAGGAGTGCCAGCTTCTCTCAGGGCACCAGGGCCTCATTTCTCATGAGGAGCGACACAGCCGTACAGAAACTTGCCCAGGGCAATGGGCACTGTGTCAATGGGGTCAGTGGTCAAGTTCATGGCTTCTATAGCCTTCCCAAGCCTAGCCGGCACAATACAGAATTCAGAGACAGTACCTACGACCTCCCCCGGAGCCTGGCCTCTCATGGCCCCACCAAGGGCAGCCTCACAGGCTCTGAAACAGATAACGAGGATGTGTACACCTTCAAGACGCCCAGCAACACCCTGTGCCGGGAGTTTGGGGACCTTGTGGTGGACAATATGGATGTTCCAGGCACTCCACTGTCAGCCTACCAGATCCCTAGGACATTCACACTGGACAAGAACCACAACGCCATGGCAGTGGCCACTTCTGGGGACTCAGCCATGGCTCCTCCACCCCGGCCTCCCAAGCCAAATCAGGCAGAAACACCTCGATGGGGCAGCCCTCAGCAGAGACCCCCAATCAGTGAAAATAGTAGATCAGTCTCTGTCGCCGCCACCATCCCCAGACGCAATACCCTCCCTGCAATGGACAATAGCCGACTTCACCGAGGTCAGTATAAGCCCCAGTTGAGACCCAGAGGGAGAGGGAGGGAGGGAGGTAGCACGGGGTTTCTCAGTAGTTAGCTAGTCCTTGGTCATCCATGGCCAAGGGAAACGTCAGGACCACCTAAGTCACTGATACTATACTCATGGGTTTAGGGATCTTCTACCCACTAGAGGCTATTAATAGATGCCTACAATGTCAAGAGTGTAGCAGACTCTGCCTTGGATAAGTTAATATTCTACTAAGGGAGCTAGAACATTCTTGGCTAACCACAATACAACATATTATGGGTTTAAAAGTCCAAATCATAGTATTTTATGCATTTATAAATCAAACCAAAGATTAAAAAAATAAATTTAGAGGACCAGTCCAAACTGGAGCCAAACCTATGTGGACTAACAGTCTGTTAAAATAAAATTAGATCCTCTGAATATTTTCTAAACCACACTTGGATCTCTTTGGTTAAGTCTGACCTTCTGTTTGAATTCAATTCTATTGTCATTTGTTTTCCACTGAGAGTATTTCAACTCTGCATATAACCTCCTCTGTTTGATAAAAGAGTAAAATACTGTTAATTCGTTTTATTTTGCATATTGCTTTATAGCTTTGGAAGCCTTTTCCTAGCCACCCTGTTGTTCGAGGCATACAGTGATCCTGAGCATTAGGTGGGACAAAGCACCACGGTCTCCATGTCACATAAGGCCCATGGTAGTTAAGAGACTATTTCAGGGTTGCGTTGTCAGTCACTGGCAGAGATGGACTCAGACCCTGGTGTCCTGACTCCTGGTTCAGAACCCTTTGCACAGTCTTTCAGCCCATCAACAATTTGAGAAATCACCCTGTGCTTTGGCACTGGAATGATAGAAACATAGATAAGACGTGTCCCTACCCTTCACTGAGTTCACATCTCGAGTTGAGGATGTGCACAAATGTGCATAAATTAGTACAAGTATTATTATTCCTATAAGTATTAGTGTAGGTGGTACCTGGAATGAGTGGAACAGGTGGTAAGTGCTGTAGGAGTTAAAGGATAGGTGCACAAATGAGGGCAGGAGTAGTCAAGGAGGGATTCTCTGTAGGTAACACTGGAGCAAGACCTGGAAGCCTGGGAGGAATTTTTGAATTGGGGAGTAATCTGCTAGAAATATCTTACCACGTGGGGTTGAGAGCAGTATCTTCTAGAGTGTTAGTAAGGCCCTGAGCAACACTGGTGAGGGTATGGGGAAGTATCACCCCTGAATCAATTGTGTGTGCATATGGATCTTCCTTCTTCTGTCATAGCTTCTTCCTGTGAGACCTACGAGTACCCCCAGCGTGGTAGGGAGAGTGCAGGCCGGTCTGCTGAGTCCATGAGTGATGGAGTCAATTCTTCCCTGGTGAGTGGGGTCTAGCCAGGGATCCTCAGGCTGGCTTGGGTGAGTTACAGATCACGCCCCATGGAAATAAGAGCACAACCCCCAAAGAGTGATGGCATCTTTCTCTTGGGACCCTACCTAGGTTCCTGTCTCAAATCAGAACCCGGGGTTCTGTTTTTGGACAAGTAACATATACACATGCTCGTCTGGAGAAAATGTGTATACTTAGATAGACCGGGCTCCAAGGCTCACCAAGCCTGTTGGTAAGCAAAGGGAACCTAGAATGTAGAGGACCCAGGCTCTGGGACAGTGGATCTTCTAAGGCAGCATCCTTCTCCATGAGGTCTCACCTGGAGGAGGGATGCTAGAGTGTCAGACTGTAGGCAGCGGTGGTGCTCAAGGTCCGGCCAAGCGGCAGAATTATGTTTTGAGTGCAGCATCCCAGGCTGCCCTCTGGGCGGGGCTGGACACGGTTATCCAAGGTCCCAGGCAAGAAGACTGGGGCCCAGCTTTAGGCCAACTGTGTAAATTACATAACCAAGGCAGAAGAAGCTCAGCTGTATGTCTGGGAAGACAGGGCATGATTTGGAGGAGGCTATATACAGCAGGAGTGGAGCCCTGGTGACGCAGCGGTTAAGAGCTCAGCTGCTATCCAAAAGGTCGGCAGTTCTATCTACCAGTTGCTCCTTGGAAACCCTATGGGGCAGTTCTACTCTGTCCTGTAGGGTTGCTATGAGTCAGAATCGGCTCGATGGCAACAGATTTGATTTTTTTTTATTTGATAATATAGCATGGTTGTTACATTGCACAATTCTGTGACAGCTCTGACTGCAGCTTGGTGATCTCCTAGGTGCCTGGAGTAAGCCCCAGGTGCACTGAAAGCTGGACTGGGGAGGCATAACTGGCCCCAGACCTCACTTGCCAGGGCCAAGACTTCTAATATGCTCCATGCCCTGATGAGGTCCTGAGATGCTGACCTGCCAGTGGTGACTCTGAACTTGAGGTAGAGGGTGGGCCCTAAACTAAGCCTATGCAGCCATGGCTTGTCATACCCTGTCTTGATCAGGCATTCAGAAACCATAGTAAACCCAGCTACCAAGGATATTTTACAGTATAGATTGATCACGAATTATAAGATCATGGAAACTAGAAGGGACCCACAGACCTCATTTCTTCTTGCCCCCACTCTCCTTTCTTAATTGGTCTTCCTAATACAGGTAACTCGGTCATGACTTTTCTTGCCTTGTGTATAAAATCACACCCCCTTGTTGTTTCATCTGGCTAGTGATGGCTGTATTTCTTTCACTCTACCTCTCCCTAGTCAGGGAAAACAGTTGTGGGCCGATTGGATAGCACCAATTCTGAAGACAACTACGTGCCCATGAACCCAGGTTCCTCCTCCGTGGCGGCCATGGAGCGAGCAGGTGATAATTCCCAGAGTGTCTACATCCCCATGAGCCCAGGGCCCCATCACTTCGACTCGCTTGGCTACCCCTCCACAGCCCTTTCTATGCACCGAGGCCCCAGTCGAGGAAGTGAGATCCAGCCACCCCCTGTCAACCGCAACCTCAAACCTGACCGGAAAGGTAAGTCCACTCTTTCCCCTGTCCTATATGTGGACAATGTCCAGGGACTGTTTGCATGTGCTTAGGGATCAGGTGGATCCTGGACAGTTCTTTCAAAGAAGTGGTAGCTTCTGGGGCCTAAATCACCTCCACACTCACACACACACATACACATACACAAACACTCCAAAATTCATCCCAGTGCTCTGGCACTTTAGGGACTGGCTGCTGGAGTAGCCTTGGTGGGCAGAAGGAGTGCAGGAATCAGAAGGACAGGACAGTTCAGGTTCCAGCTCTGCCACCAGCATGTGATTGTAGACAAATCATTTCACGTCTCTGAACCTTGTTTCTTCATCTGTGAAGTGGGAAGTATAATACTTACCTCCCAGAGGCATTGAAGGACATGGATAATATATCTAAAAATGATTTGTAATGTTTAAAATGCAATATAAGGATAAGGGATTAGTGTTAGACCTGGGGCTGGGCAGGCAGAACTGACAAAGTCATCTATTAGGAGACACACCATCATGTAATAGAAAAGTTTGAGCTTTTAAGTCAGGTAGTTGTGGGTTAGAATCCTTTTCCAGCACTTCCTAGGTATGTGACTCTACATAGATCATTTAAATTCTCTGAGCCTCAGTTTTCTTATCTGTGAAATGAGGATAGTAATTCCTATCTCCCAGAATTGACTCTGGTACACAGCAGGTGTTCAATAAAGTTAGATCTATGCCCCCTGCATTTAGACCAGGAAGAAGTATCAGAGTTCAGGTTCCAGGTCTGCCACTACTCACTCAGGTGGCCTTGGATCCAGGGCATAGATTCAGAGGGAAGGGGTAGGGTAGCCAGGCAAAGATCAGCCCCCCTTGGTCTGGCTAACAGGGAATTCAGATCTTAATGTGTAGAATTTAAGCTTCAGGCCCTCATGGCATTTACCTTCCTCTTCAGTGGGTCCCATAGCCCTGGTACAGGAACTGCAGGAAGTAGTCATGGTGACCATCTCCATTTCAAACACTGCCTCTTCTTTTTACATAAAGTCACAAATCCGGGGGGTGGGGGGGAAATCTGTTGTCAGACCATGTGTCCCTATTTTGGATTCTGAAAATGCGATTACCAAGGATAAGTAGAAAAAATATAGAATTTGCAATCAGAAGACCTGACTTCAAGGCCTGTCAACATGGGCCAATATTATATAACTTAACACTGAGTCCATTTCCCTATGCAAAACTGGAATGAATGTGAAGACACTTGTAAATATGTATGCATGTTATATATGTGTGTGTATGGGTGACATTATTATTGGCTGATTGCTTGACTTTCTGTTTCTACTTCAGCAAAGCCAACACCACTTGACCTGAGAAACAACACTGTCATCGATGAGCTCCCCTTCAAATCACCTGTCACCAAGTCTTGGTCTAGGGCCATGTGAGTGTCTGCTTGTAGAACAGGGAGCTTGGAGGAGGGTCATTAAGGGAAAAGAGGAGTAGAATGGTCCCTGGCCTGTGAGTCAGGAAAGCTGGATTCTGGTGCTGATATTCTCATTAGCTGATCATCTCTTTATCTCCTGGGGCTTGGTTTCATCATTTGTGAAGGGGAAATTATTATACTGGCCCTGCCATACTACCCAATAGGCTGTTGTCAGATCTTCATCTGATAATGGAATGTGAAGCTCTGAGGGCCGAGATCTGGGTGTGCAAGGGTCAGGGGCCAAGTTGTAGGCTAAAAACACAGCAGCAGCCCCGAGGCTTCCCCAGAGTTTACTCTTCTTCTTCTTCTTCCCACAATAGCCACACCTTCAACTCGAGCTCCTCTCAGTACTGCCGCCCCATCTCCACACAGAGCATCACCAGCACGGACTCGGGAGACAGCGAAGAGAACTACGTCTCTATGGTGAGTCCTGTGGGGTTGGCAGGAATGACTCCTAGCATAGTCCCCCGGGACCAAGCTCTCAGTTCCCTGCTTCCCACTTACCTAGGCCCAGGGGCTTTCTGCATTAGTTGTGATTTAGTCTCATGCTGCATGTCCTCCTTGGGCACAAGCAGATTGTGGGTCGTCATAGGTGAGGAAGACATGGTCCCCGCCCTCAAGGAAGTCATGGTCTTAAAGAGAAGGCATGCCTCTGTCACGACTGTGACACAGGTAACATGGTCAGTACCCTAGAAGAGGAGTGCTGTAGGGAAACCACTGCAGGGGGGTGGTCATGTCAGGCTGGGGAAAAGGTGGAGATATCCAGACAGAGAAGGGATGGCAGGTATAAAGAAAGGCACCAAGTCACAACTGTGCAGGGCCTGGAGAATGAGCAAGTAGTTAACTATGGCTGAAGGTAGGGTGGGCAGGGGTGGGCTTGGACTGGAGCCAGATCAGAAAGCACAGCTGAATGCTGTCGAGGTAGAGGAAACCACAGATGGTTTCTGAGCAGGCCAGGTGATTAGCCAGGTGTTTTAGAATGGTTACTGGGAGCATGTAAAGAATGACAACAGCATCCTTTAAAGTTAGCTTTCCTCCTTCTATCCTGTTAAAATCTTTAAAAATCATGTTAAAATGATTTCCTTATTTTGTTGTTCCCATGACCATGACCAAGTATGTGAGTGTAAGCTTTTATTGATTATCTACTCAGTGGTGGGGAAACAGACGTGTACATAACTCACTGTGGTGAAGGCCATAATGGAGGTATAGACACAGGCGGAACGTGGTATGTCCTCCCCTGAGGTTTTCAATGTAAAGGCATAGCTGCCCAGCCCCTGGTAGTTGTTGCATAAATATTGAATGAACGAATCAGACAACCAAAAAACCAGAAGAGGGGGCTGTCACCTTTCTCATTAGATTAAGACTTCGGGAAAATCCTAGACAAGTAGGCGTATCTCAGGAGACAGGCCCCTATAGTGTGTCATTTGAAGAACTGCGAAAAGAACTGGGGCTTTGTATAGCCTGGAGACGAGGCAACTCTTCAGACCTCTGAGGAGCTGGGGCTGAAGGGAGCAAGCTGCTTCAGTATGGCTCTACCCCTGCTGCGGGCCGTGGTGGGAATTTCAAAGGGGCAGATATGGTACAACAAAAGAAAACTTGCCAACATCTGGTGCAGAAAGGAAAGGTGCACCCTTCTTGGGAAGTGATCATTGTGAGGCTGGCAAGGGGAGGCTGGGTAATGATCAGGAAGGAGACTGTAGAGGAGATTTGGCCTGATTTCCTAAAAGGGAGGCAGCATGGTATAGTGGGGTTAGCACAGGTGTGGGCGTTAGAAAATAGACCTGGTTCCCATCCCTGCTCCAGCACTCACCAGCTCTGTGACCATGGGCAAGTCTTTACGTCTCTGAACTTCTCAGTTTCATAATTTTTTAAAATATGAATAGTAACAATGCTTACATCAGGATTGTTTAAATTCGATAACATGAAAAGTCCCAGCACAGTGCATGGTACAGAGTAGACTACTCAGTACAACTGGCTCTTACTCCCTGAGATGTGTTTTTCTGGGTGGTGGGGAAGCTTGTTTCCTAAACTCACTAACAGTTGTTTTCTCCTTGTGTTAGCAAAACCCAGTGTCTGCATCTCCCGTTCCCAGCGGCACCAACAGTCCAGCCCCTAAGAAGAGCACTGGCAGTGTTGATTATCTAGCCCTGGACTTCCAGCCGAACTCTCCAAGCCCCCACCGCAAGGTGCCTGGGGTTGGGGGTGTCAGTTAACGATCTCGGGGCCCTAGGGGAATCCATGGAGGCCAGGGTGCTTCAACACTGAACAGCAGCATTCAGCCACTCTCCTGTTCCTGTGCCCAGCACTTGGACTTGGCTGTGCTCTAGTCTGGATCTTAGAAGCTCATAGTCTCCCTCTCTCTCTCAGAGCACAGGCGCCTAGATCCCTAGAACCTAATCACCCAGTCCATCTTCCTCATTGTACAGATGGGTAACCGGACACTGCATATCCTTTGTGAGCACAGAAAGCAATGATTTGCTCAGGGCTACAAAGTGAACTCTGTCGCATGGGGCCACTATGAGTCGGAATCGAACTCGACGGCACCCAGCAACAACAGTAAAGTGAATTAGTGACAGATTGAAGACTCAGGGATCCTGTGTTCTGGTCTTAAGCACTTTTTTGAAGAAAACTTACTTTCTGGGTGGATCCCAGAACACTGCCATTGGTGCAGTGGTCTACAGAAGGGACTCTGGACCTAGGGAGGGCCTCCATAAGAAGCCCACTCAGCTAACCAGTGTAGACAGTGGGATAGGAGCTCCGTCTCCAAACTGTTCCTTCTCACAGGGTGGTTGTGAGGGCTGGTCAAGGTATTACAGGTAAAGCCCTATGGTTGGTACTTGTTGGTACCTAGAAAATTCCTTCCCCTGGATGAGTGACCAGAGGGATGTGGGTGGAAGCAGAGATCAAGGCCTGGACACATCCACCAGGACCAGGGAAGGACCTGCTCCCAAGGAAGCGCTTGCAGGGGGCTGTTGCACCAAACAAGAGGCATCATAAGTTTGGAGTGCAGGCTTTAAAGACCACATTCAGAGAAAGAATACAAGCTCTGAGGCTGGTCAGAAGGGCAGGCAGAGGCCCACCTCCTTTCCTCTTGGAGAAGCTCCCTACCTTACTAGGTAACTCAAAGCCACTTCCACTTTCCCATTCTGTCCCCTCAGCCATCCACGTCATCCGTCACTTCCGACGAGAAGGTGGACTATGTTCAAGTGGACAAGGAGAAGACCCAGGCCCTGCAGAACACCATGCAGGAGTGGACAGACGTGCGGCAGTCCTCGGAGCCTTCCAAGGGTGCCAAGCTGTGACACGGGCCGCCAAGCCCAGGGAGGGGCCAGGAGGCAGCATCTCCAGAGCTGGCTTCTCCCTGTCTCCCCTCCCTTTTCCCTCCCAGTACCCCTTCCCGCCCACCTCCTCTCCAGTCTGCCACTCTCAGCCTTCAAAGCACTTGACATCAGGGACCCTGAACCCTTCCCCTGGGAGGTGAGGGCCTGATTGAGGCACTTCCTCTGCCCCCTCTGGGCCCACCTTTTGATTTTTATCAGTAATGGCCATGCCTTCACCCACCTTAGTTAGGAGCTATTGCCAAAAAGCATCCTTCAGCCTCTTTCTGTCCTTTAGACCTGAATATCTACCAGATGTTGGAGGGAGGGGTTGGGGGTCTGAGCCAGATTCCACACCTCACGTTTGGTCGCGGCCCTCAGCCCTCTTCCCTCCGGCTACCTGGCCTACCTCTCCTTCAGTCCCAGAAGAAGAGAAATCCTCTCACTGAACCAGGGAGCCAAGGATCAGCAGACCAAAGTGGACATGGACTTTTTCATCCCTGTTTTCTTGGCAGAGGAGAGGAAAAGGCCGCTAAAAGATGAAATGGTCAAGAAGGAAGGTCAAAGGTGGCCTTGAGGAGCAAAGGAACTGGATCCCCAAACACAGCAAGGCAGCTGATACCTGCAGTAGTCCCCAACTCTCAGGCCAAGGATGTGGCAGTGTAGCTGCTGCAGGGTGGGAGAGGCAGAAGGATAAAGGACAAAAGGAAGGGAAGACTGATGATGAAGGACCAGGGCTTGGAGCCCAGAAAATTGGGGTGACAAGGACACTGTGCGGTCAGGGTCCCCAGAACTCTTGAGCCACAGGCCTCCCTGCCACTTTCTGATGCTGCTCTGAGACAGCGTCCTCTTCCCTAAACCCCTCCTTGAGAGCCCCCTACCACGCCTGAGAGTACCGCAGTGGAGAAGACTTGGACTTGTTGTGCAGGGCGATGCAGCGTGTGGTGTGAGAGTGCCGGCATGGCTCGGGGAGGCTGATGGAGAGCTGTGGGCAAGAAATGCAGTGTGTAGGGATGGGGGCATGGGGAGGGAGGGTTTTGGTGCAGAATGGGAGTGATGTAGGGGTTGGGGGTCACCCTGTGATAGGAGCCTACAGAGGCACAGGGCAGTGCATGGGTGCAACAAGTGCATTACCACAAGCCGGGCTGCGCAGCAGGGGAGGGCATAGAAGCAGTGTGACGGCGTGAGAAGCAGGGGTTAAGGTCGGACTGTGGGGGCAGGCGTGCAGTGCAGCGAGTAAGGAAATACAGTGAAAGGACCTGGTGGAGTGCCCAGGGCAGTGCCATGGAGGATGCAAGGTAAAGTAGAGCGAAGGAGTGATCTGTCTGTAAGTGTATCGGTGTGCATGGTGGCATGAGAGGAGGACAGTTCAGAGGATTGATGGTCGATGGGTAAAGCAGTTCAAGGCAAAGAGCAGAGTGGAACTGTGTCCAGAGGACGGCATGTGTGTATCCCTGGAAGCCTGTGCCATTTGGATGGGTTTTGTGCCAAGTTCCAGGACAGGATGCAAGTCTGGCCTTGTGCCTGGCCTAGAGTGTTTTCTACATCACCTGACCCTCGTGGGGCCCGCTACTCCCTAGCATTCCAGGTGCCATGTTGCCCTCAAACTTGGCCACAGGGACAGGACAGGCCAATCCATTTCTTCCATGGCTGGAAAGGCTATCAGATCAGCATCCCCCTCCTCCCATCCCAGCCACTGATGGGAGGGAGGGAGGTAGGGCATTGCCCCAGGCTCTTTCTTTGAAGCCTAGGGAGGAGGTTATCTGAATTTTTAAGCTGAAAGTTCTTAACTAGATTTTCAAGAGTTTCATAGGCAACTGGGCAGTGAGACATTTCATCCTACCCTGGGGTGAATAGACATTCTTCCTCCAAAAAATGACTTCCCACTGTGTTTGGTGGGTATGGCTACCATGTCCCTTTCAACTCCTGTGTATACACATGTGCACACACATGCACACTTCACCAGACCAATGGCCTGACCGTTTTTTAAGACGTTCCATCCTGGGAGAAATTATTTTCTCAATAATAGCTCCTCTTCTCCTAGCATCAGTTCAGATGAACTCAGTGAGCATTTATTAATGGCTGCTGTGGCTAGGATCTGGGCTAGGCACTAAGGACACAGGAATAACTCAGACCTTGTTCCTTGAGAAGATCACAGTCAAGTGAGAAAAAGACAAGGACATGAGATATTGGTAATCGCCATAAGAGAGAGAGACCTAAAATGCTGATGGGGTGCAGAGGAAGCAAAGACTACTTCTACAGGGAAGATGGTGCCAGGGGTAGGAGTAGGGAAGTGACAAATGGGGGAGATGGAGATCAGAGAAGGAGATTTCTAGGAAAAGAGTAACTTAAAGAAGGAGCAACTTGGAAAAGATTGTGCTTTGGGAACAAAAGACCTTTGGGAGTATGGTTCAGCCACTCAGAAGTGATAGGCCCATGCCTCCGTGTTCCCAGAGTTGAACTGGTCGTGAGAGCAGTAGCTGACACTGTCAGGTTTGCAGAGTACTGGTTCACTCTGCCCAACCCCAGCAGGCTACAGGTGGGCCCAGACATTGATACCCTCATTTTCTATCCCCACAAGCCTCCCCTCTTGATGTCAGGGTGCCATACAAATGTTAGCATTTTCTGAGTGTACCATGATGTGAATGAAACTGGTTGGAGTGTTCAGAAACAGAGGTGTTCAGATCTAACGTCCAAGGAGGCCTCCTTCCAACACTTGGTTCCTTTAACTGCCAAGATCCTTAGGGTGGAATTGGGGGTAGAGAAGGAAGTATAAGAGAAAAGGAAATTGCCCTTGAAAGCAGAGACTCTTAACACACAAGCCCCAAACTACCAGCCATGTCTAGCATGCTCCCCACCCTCCAAAAAGAGTAAAAGTTGGCTTAATTTAAAAAAAAAAAAAAAAATGGTCTTTTGACCTATCAGTGGGTCAAAGTCCACCTCTCCTGGTGGCCTGGATAGGACTGAGATCCCAGAATGGAGATACCTGCTCACCCAGTGTAGCTCTCACAGGGACTCATCCTGCCTGGGGCTCCCCACAGAAGCAGCCACCCTCACCCACTTCCAGCTCCACCTCTGCAAGGTTAAAGAAAAGTAGAGTAGGGACAATGGAAAAAGAAGGAGGGAGGGAGTGCATGCTACAGGGAGATGGTTTCTTAGGACCTTGGTTTGCCCATCTGTGGAGTGAGTGGTTGGATTAGATGGTCTTAGGCCCCTTCTAGGACTGATGCTCATCTGTTGAAGGGGGACTCCCTGCTGTTCTGTCACCTCTTCCTTGAGGGTCAAGGATCACCAGGGATGAACAGCACCAATGAGCATTAGCCAATTAACCCAGTTCCCTCCCTAGCTTGATTTTGGTAACTTACATGTTTGAAACCATTAAAATACTCCCTATTCCTTGGATAGAAGCACAACCATTCTGAACTTACTGGAGCATGGGCTCAACCCCAGTCTGCCCTTTGGCTCCTTTACTCTTTCCACTTGGCCTAAGGCCTCAGCCTCACACCGTGACCTTGCCCTACCCTATCCCTACCCACACCCCTTTGACATCTCTGGAAGAAGAGTGCAGGACACAAGGAAAATTAGCACTTTCTTCCCCTCTCTGGGCCTTCATCTGTAAAATGGGGAAGGGTAGGAGAAAAGCGAAGCTGGCCACATGAGGTCTAAAGAACCCTCCTACTGGGGCCATCTTTCTGGGACTTGGCCAAGCTCCTTGGGGCCTGGGGCCATAGTGGGCTGCTTGCTGAGGGGCCCTTTGGAGATTCAGGCTGTCATATGATATTTGGTGGTGTGTGTTCTTGTGTATTTGTTGGTTATGTGTGTCTTGAAATTTAGAATTATTTCGCACAGAATTGTCGCGAACAGAAAATAATGGGCTAGTAGAAGCCCAGTCTTAAGTTTTTGTCCTGTTGCCATTTAAAATTGACATTTAATTTTTCAAATCACTGTTGGTGCCTAATCACTTAAGTTATTAATTTATTCTTTTTTCTTTAAAAAAAATTTGTAACATATTTATCTTGTGAGTAGGTCTGGGGGTGGGGTGGGAACATGTTGAACTGGGTGATGTTTTTGCTGTGGTGACACATGGTACAGGCCTGGAGCTTGCAGGTCCCTTTTTACTGTGGTGTTGGAGCAGGACAACAATAAAGTCCTTAGAAATGCAAGCCAGAGAGGGCTGCCGAGTCTGCCTTATCTGAAGGGGTGGAGAATGGAATCCCTACAGACACAAATCCCAAGTGGGGGCTCACCTGAGGACTGACAGCTGCTTGTCCTTCCTCAAGATGATGTCTGGGCTAAAACACACGCTCTTGACAAAAAAAAAAATATCACTTCAGAATCCTTGCTGTCATAAACCCAGCAAAGTCTGTGTGCAATCTGCTGCACTTTCATTTTAATAGGAGATAACTGGGTACTCCTCTTGGCTAGAAGCGAAGATGAACCCTCTCTACTTCAGAATCTGTTTTCCTAATCTGTAAAATGCAAACTATAATAGCGCCTGCCAATTCATCATCCTTGAATGCACACTGGACTGGGAGTCTAGAAACACATTCTGAGCGTAACTCAGTCCCTGGTAGACTGTGTCACCTCAGGCCCGCTTTCACTGGTCCCTAAGGTCTGACATATCGAGGGTCGATGACATTTGGGCTAAAACTTAACTCCTCCACCGACAGCACAAGCAGGCAGCCTTTGAAGCCCCTGGTCACTCCATCTCCTCCTCCTCCTCTCAGTCTTTCCAATTTCTGTGTTCTCCCAAAGGGGTAGGTAGGATGGGTGCAAAGAGGACCCTGCACACAGGGCCTGTCCTGTGCTCCTCTCCAGTTCAGCCGCCTCCCAGCTTTGCCCTAGGTCGATGCTCAAGTCTAGCCCAGGAGAGGCCACAACCCTCCTCCTCTACACTCTGCCAGCTTCTCAGACGGAAGGAGGAGGGATGTGGTATTGGTCGCAGGTATTGTGGGGCAATACCGAGTTTTCAGAACCCTGGATCTGAAAAATCCTGATATTGATAGGTGAATCTCCTCCATAGTATCCCAGGAAGTAGTCCCCAGCCTGTGCACCCACCCTCCAGAGGCAGATGGCTCCTCACTGCTGCTCAGGGCGGCAGGCACT